CGGGTGGTTGACGTTCTCCTGACGTGATCCCAAGTACGCGAGCATGCATGGTGGCCGTGATGATTTGGAACGTCGCACAGGCAACCTCAAATTTTGTATTTGAAACACTTAAGCGGCGAGCAGTAGGGAGAGTTCAGGGCGGCGGCCTTCTATCGGGGAGTTTGGGGCGGCAGCGTTTGATAGCTCGAGCAGAGGCGTCCAGCTCAGGCCAATGCCAATCCGAAAAGAAAAAAAAACTCACATGAGAGGTTTAAGGTAATCTCAGTTACCAATATACCCTCCATAATACAAATTCCATTTTATAAATATAATTCCTCAATTAATTAGCTGGAAATTATTAAAAATAAAGTACATAGTGGTACCAAGGTACTTTCCCAACCATTGTAAAAGAGCTCCATGAGTACAAACTGATAAACTAGCACTAGCAGCAGCAGGAGTGATAGATGGTACTGCATATGAACAAAACATGTTTGCTGGGTTTGATTTATCATGCAGAAGTTATAAGTAGCGTTAGTGATATGAGCAAGTGCAAGTCCAACATTAGAAACTTTTTGCTACATTGGCCCCTTCCAGACTTGGATGGTAATGAAACATGGATATTTCCACAGATTTTACCGTGGATATTTTGTGACATTTCAGCATATGTGCATTAAATTTTGTCCGAACTGCCTCAACACCAAGTCTTGCAAGCTGGTTAACAACTTATCATCATGAGAAACAATATTCCAAGAGGTCCGTTTCAAGCATCTGTGTATCTCATTTATTATTAACTTTTACAGGAAGTATCTGTCAAGTTTCAGGGAAAATCGATCAGGCACACTGGGTTCTTTCCTTGACTCCACAGGTATTTTTGTCCAATTTAAACTTATGTGTCTATCAATATGACGTAACAACTGGAGATATCTTGCAAGAATCTACAAGCTGTACTGATAGTCAATAATTTCACATTAATTGATGACTCCTAATTTTACAGCTGAAAAGTGTTTCAAGAAATCTTATAGTGAAGATACGTTATTATATACAACACTCTCATCTAACATATCCAACGCATATAGGGTTCTGAGCTAACCACCTGAATTTTCAATAATTCATGGTACTGATTCAAAGGCACATTGACATTTTCAGAGTTCATTTGGCGCTGTTTACTGAGAAAACAATTTATGAGAGTACTTGCTGTTACCCTTGGATGTGTCTCGGCTTCCATACTGTTGGCTGAGGCCACTTTGCTGCCAAGTGATGTTGATCTGTCACTTTTCTCCAATCTTATAAATGCTGTAGGAAAACAAGAAGTTCTAGTCCAGGTAAGAAATTTGTCCATTCAATTGCTGCAGCTTTGCCTTGACGTCATTGGCTATTAGTTTCGAGTAAAATATACACATGGATCCCACTTTCACACACACGCACATGTTCATTTCTATAAACATAACTTCTTTTGCATGTGATTTTGTTAATCCTTTGCTTCTCAATTCTATTCGTCAATGGTCATATACACAACTGTTGTGCTTTAACATGTGAAAAAAAATTCCTGGTGGGTTGTCAAAATCTGTTTTTTTCTTTAGGATCAAACATTGCTGTTGCTTGCCATTCTTTTTTTATTTTACAAATACCGTTGTTCATTCTGCTTGATGCAATTTCATGAAAGAAAAACTTCCAAAACAATAAGTTTAACCTTATTCTTTTTGCTGATTAGAGTTGCCTCTTAACAGGTTGCTGCGTTTGTTCCCTTGATGTATATGTGCATCTGTACATACTATTCACTGATTAGGATAGGGATGATGCTGTTATATTCGTTGACCCCAGGACAAACTAGTTCAGTCAGCTTGCTTATGATCTGCTCGTAAGCTTTCCAGTTTTCCACCTTTTGATACTTTGAATGGCATCAATTGTTAAAAGCTCCTTTCTGCATTATACTAATTCAATTTTTACATCAAATGTTTCACTGCAGAATGGTTGCAAGATATGCACCACCCATTTCTTACAACTTCCTGAATCTCATTCACCTTGGTGGTAATGCTAAAACTACTTTCGAAAAGGTGATAATCTTTGCATGTTCCTCTTGTACTGTTTTCACTACATTATTGGCATAAAATCAATATGTGGTATTTGAGTAGTCATTCTTGATCTCAAACTTTCATAATTGGTGTTGGGTTTCTCAGAAAAAAATTGATGAAAATATTTTTATTTTTTGATATTTGGTGAAAAAAATACCATGATTTTTGTGCACACCAGGAAAGAGAAGTAGAAAAACACTAAATGATTGTGAGTTTACAGTTTGCATGCCAAATACAGGCCCCGGTTAGCATTTAGGCTCTTTCAGATAATCACTGCTCCAAAAATAATCAAATTCATCACCTTAATTTTGTGTACCCTATAAGGAAATAATTAAAATACAGCGACACCTTTTTTCACTGCAATTGCAGAGTGCAGGATTTCTCTTGTCCTTATATTGGTGTTCTAGCGTTGTTTGAATGTTTTTTTCTTAATCTTACCATTACCAGATATGTCCCAGTTGACTGCTTGACTGATCATCTCTTGTACTAATATGTAGAGAATGGGGAACATTGATGACGTTGTTCCTTTCTTTGGGAGATCCTTCAACAAAATCTACCCACTCATTATGGTTGTTTATACTCTATTGGTCGCCGGAAATTTCTTCGAGCATCTGATAGACTTTTTTGGGAGCTTGAAAAGGTTCAAGTGCTGGACTGACCAAGAAGAAGATATGGATGGGATGGATCCATCTGGAGTATTTATTCTTCAGAATGGTAAGAATTTCATTATGTACACATGACGATATCTTGTCTTGTTACCCCACATGCCTCCAGTAATTTGGTACTGCTTCGCTGTTACGCGCTTATTGGGATTTCAGTTTCCTCTGTCAATAATAAACTTATCATGCTTACACAGACTATTCCAAACCCTGCTTGGTTTCGAAAAAAAATAATCAAACCCTGCTTGGTTTCGAAAATAATAATAATCAAACCCTGCTAATGGTTTCGGAAACATCAAGCCTGTTGCTAATGGTTTTTTGGAAACCCTGCTTGGTTTTAGAAGTCATTTTGCTCCAGCGATGGCTTGTTCTATAGATATCGTCTGATGTATCTGTTTTCTTCTGCAGAGAGAAACTACATGGAGCAAGGACGCAAAGTCAGTGAGCATGCGACTCCACTAGCAAGAAATTTCAGCTGTCTAGGCAAAGACGTCGAATCTGGAAACATACCACAGGTGCGAATTAATTTGGCTGCATCATAGTCCTTTTTCAGCAACTGTGGCCTCCCAAGCCTTCTTTTTGGCAGAATTTGAGCTCAGATTCTAGTCCATTTGGAGGTTCCACTCTCAGCTAATCTTCAACTTGTTCCACACAGGGTGAAGAAACAGTGGAGACGAAGCCGGAACGAACCGCCCAGCCGAAACACGGTGGCGATGCTGCCCACAGATATTCTTCAGTCAGGGAACAGTGCAGCAGTCCGAAACCAGTGGAGCAAGTTCAGAAGGAAATTTCACCGGCCTCCATTAAGCTTGACACCGGAAATTCTGAAGAGCCGGCGCCAGATTCACCGGCTGACACGGCCTCAAGGTGGGCCTCAATGAAGATGGGTCTTCAGAACTTCAGCGCAAGCATGGGCTCCAAGAAGTTCCTCCGTTTGAGCCTGTCTCCTAGGGCCGGGACGAATGAAATCTGCTACGGAAACACTCGATGAGATCTTCCGGAAACTGAAACGGCATTCGAGCAACGCGGATGCCGATCACCTCGACGACGATGGATTGCCCTGACGTAACACAAACGAGCGTAACACTGCTGAGAGACCAGGTTGTGAAGGAGTACTAGAGGGTAGTAGAAAGTAGAAACACAAAGGAGTGGACACAAGTTGACAAGATGACAGTTGACAGGGACTTGACCGAGGTACAGAACGTATAGAATTTTGTATGCTCGTGGGGGGACCCAGGTTACTGGTTCATTTGGAGAAGTGTAAATATGAACATGGAACTGGTGTCTGCTAACGTGAGGGTCTGTCCTGCGCGTAGGAGGCTAGAGGTGTAAATGTACAGTACGTGCAAGTCCTTAAGTATCATCTGTGGGATGCCAGATGTGTTTCTGATCATTGCATAATCTTGGTGCACTGCATTTGTCATACACTCATACTACTATCTGATTGCTTTACTCAAAACAGATAACTCCAAAAACATCCGCGACGGAGAATGTATAATAAACTCCCTAAAGAAAAGAATAATGCATAATGAAGGAATGGCAAAGCAGTGTCTTAGGCCCTGTAATGAAGGAATGGCAAAGCAGTGTCTTAGGAAGATTACACTCCTCCTTTATCCTTAAATGTGATTTAAATCAAATATTAATTACACAGTTTGGTTGCCATGGAAGGCAAGTGTCTAATTTCTCGTTTGGACAATTAGAAAAGCGAAAAGTTGGCTACTGTAGCCCGCTACGGCGGCGTCTATTCTGACCTCAACTAAACGAGGCCTTAGTTGTACACTCCTTTATCCGAGAATATTAGTTACACCTGCCATGGAAGGCAAGTGTCTTTTCTCAGAAAAGCAAAAGTTGGGGCTCCTGCCCCTGCTGATGCAGCAACTATTTGTGCCTTACGACTAGAAAATGCCCGCCACTACATGCCAAAACAGGTAAACAACCCGATTGCAGCACGGCTAGTAGTTAATAACGGACCATAAGCCTGGAACAGGTGAACGATAGTTTGTTCAGAGATCATGGCAGCAGAGTACTGCGAAGGAGCGGCGAACAGCCAAGCGCAAGCTTTCATTTAGTGGTGTTTACAAAATGGGCGAGCCATTAGGCCGCCTTTCGCCACCCGGCCATCCATTCCACGGCAGAAGCAGTCACAGGACATTGTGAAAAGAAACCGAAAGATTGCTAGTAGTAATCAACAGCGTAAACACAGGAACATCACAGAACCGAGCACCGCGACGCGCTCGTCCACGATCCGCATGGTCTCCGTCGGTCGCCACCCCCTGACCCTGATCGAGCATCACACCACCGGCGCCCGCTTGTGCTGCGCGGCGTTCTGTCTCTCTGCGGCCACCGAGCACACGTCTTTCTTGTGCCAGCCACCGTGGTGGAGCTGCTGCTGCAGCCGCGCCCAGAAGTTGCCCCTCTTCGCCTTCCTCTCCTCCTCCTGCTCCGCTCGGCGGCCCGCGGCCAGCGCCGCCGCCTCCCTGCCCTCCTGCCGCAGCAGCAGCGCGAGGCTCCCGCGGCGGGCCTGCCGTGGCGCCTGTGCCGACGACGACTGCGCCACGGTCTCCTCCCACGACGAGCACGGCGAGGAGCCCGACGATGACGAAGACGCGGAGGCGCCGGCGCGCGCGGAGCCGGAGGCGGCCGCGGCGGCGGAGAGGCGCGACAGGCGATCGCGTAGGCAGAACGGGCACACCCCGGCCGCGTGCCGGTGCTTCGGGTGCCTCCTACACCGCGCGGGGTCCGCCTCCTTCGACGACTTGCCGGCGCCGGCTGCCATGGTTGGCGATCGGGCAGGGCAAGAAGCACGAGCGCAGCAAAGGTCAAGAAATGGGTGGGCTGGGTGGGGTTGCGCGTGCGTGCGGGAGGTGGTGGTGGACTGGTGGTGGTGCGGCGTGGCCTGGCCGGGCGGGTGCGTGGTCCTATATATGGCGCGGGAGGCGGGACCTGGAGCTGGAGAAGTTGCGCGGACGCGGGCGGAGGCTGAGCCAGTGGGCAGTGAGTTGGGTGTCGGGGGAGCGTAGCAATTGGGGGACGTGGGGTGGTGGAGTGCGTGCGTCCATGGCGTGGTTGGAGCCTCCCTGGGGGTTCGGTTTTGGCTCAGCTGGATGGGGTCCGTCTGGCCGGCCGGCCGGTGGGCGGCGGGAAGCGCACGCGCACACAACCACACGTCCTGGACCTGGAGGACCTGACGACAGATGTTGCCGTGCTCTTTTCTTTTGTTTGAAGTGTTGAACCGCATCATCCAAAACTACAAAATCAGGCAATAGACTGATGATCGGTTCATAAGCAGATACTGGCACGTACTACGTACTACATACTTCAGATTCACAATAACAGAAGGTATATAGAAGACTCTTGAGTTGAGCCATCACAGTGCATTGTTGTAGAAGAATCGCTATAAAGTTGGCAGTTGTAGATAGCGTAAACGATGGCAAAGGTTGTCAAGTGTCAACACAATAATTCGTGCAGAGAAAAAAAAGCACAAGTTCACGACCAGCGATAAGCACACGAGGAGTATCGTGGAATGGGTGGACGAGTTGCTGGAAATCTCCGCAAAAAAGATTAGTTGACTACTACTCCGCATATCCCAATCTCTCACGATGCCTCAACGTGCGCGCTGTTGCATTTGGCACGCGCATACCGATGCACCGCATTTCCGACTTCCGAGGCTAGGTGGCCGTGACGGATCACCTGCAAAACATGCACGCACGGAGAGGCTTCCACGCCCGCGCCGCGCACCGTGCACGCCACGCCGCAGGGTCGCCTCGCCCTCGCGGCCCGCAGGCCGCAGCTCCCCCGGCCGGCAGACAAAGCTCCGGCCGCCGCGCGTACGGTGTCCCCTCCGACCAGGACCGCGCTGGCGAATGGCGACAGGTGACTGACTACCCAGGCGCACAAGGGCCTACTAGTACTACGTGGGCGCGCGCCTCCATGCGCCTCCTTCCAAGTTCCAAACCCTTCCTCCACACCCGTCGACGCTTCGGTCGCGATCCGGCCGCCCATCGGGTCCAATCGACGGTGCACGTACGGTACTCCGTTGGTACGCGGCACGTACTGACAGTACGCGCGCCTGCTTTTACACGGCACGGCGGCCGGCGTGGCGGCGTTGACAGCTGAACAGCGCGGCTGCGCGGGCGGGGCCGCTGCCCACCTTGCTCGGCCTGATTGGAACCGGCAGCCTGACCCGATTTTTTTTATTTTCCAGCCTTTTTTAAAAAAAATATTCACAAATAGAATTTGAGGTATTGACATGGCCCAAGTTCCAAACCCTTCCTCCACACCCGTCGACACGTCGGTCGCGATCCGGCTCGGGTCGGGTCCAATCGACGGTGCACGTGGCGGTACTCCGTTGGTACGCGGCACGTACTGACAGTACGCGCGCCTGCTGGAATACCCGGCTACGGCGGCCGGCGTGGCGTATATTGATATATATATATGTATAATGCTATAATCGCGGGTATTTTCATACATTTTGCTCAAAAGCCTGATTAAAAACCGGCCTTTCAATTAGATTTTTTTTAGATTTAGAAAGCAAATATTTTTAAATATTCTTTGAAATACATCCTAGGGGTTTATTTTTTAAGTCTATGGATTCGACCTTTTTTTTATGGCGTGGAAGTGGGAATACCTAAGTTTTAAATCCTAGCTGTCGGAATTGGCGGTGACTGGCGCAAGCGTGGACAAGGCCTCGGCGCCGAGCTCGGTGCCGTAGATCTTGACACCGAGTTGTTACCCTATAGATCTTGGCGTTTGAAATGAAACAAGTACAATTGTTCCGAGGAACATGCAACAATGTCATTGCGGTTCAACTGGTTATGACGTACGCGGCTTAGCTCAAAGGCCTGGGTTCAAACCTCAGCAGAAACATGCTATATCTCAGTTGTAGTCTAGTTGGTTAGGATGCTTGGCTCTAACATGAGACATAGGTTCAAATCTAGCAGGCAAATTTTGTTTGCTGCATTTATTAATCATTTTTTGCTTACTTAGTTATTACTAACGTCCTTGGTTCCACCAAACTTTATTATTATTAACATGAGAGAACACTATTCACTAATTTGTAGTTTGTTTTAGATGAAGGATACATCTCAAGGTGCATTTATTTATATATTATCTAAATCCAAATCCTCCTTATATTATCATAATCATGAATGTATTTATTTATTTATTAGTTTATATATTTCGGTAGTAGTGTTTTTTTTATGAGGGGGAGATCCTCCTCGTTTCCTCACCAAACTTAGTTGAACAGTCCAGATGATGATAATATGGAGCAATTAATTAATATATTAAGCCAATTCTTCTTGTTAATTCTATTTCATGAAAAATAGGGAGGTATGCAAATTAAAGAGCTCAACACTGAAATAGGGAGGCAAAGAAAATTACACTTACTTAATGTAAAATAAATTATTTTATTTATTTACTCCTTGTCTCAGAAGCCTTCAACTTATATATGATGACAAAAGCCATATGCATGTAAGTAAAAGGACGACCAAACAACAAGATATATATAAACAAGTCACTTCAACTCAACTTGATTCAAACTACGTAATGTTTCAAAATCAAATAAAAAATAAATTAAATATACAGTGTACGATAGAACAATGGAACAATAATATACAGTGTGCGGTGAAACCCAGGACACTAATAATAAAAGAATAATATTTCTTGTTGTAATTGCTTATAAAAATAAAAATTTAACAAAAAATATTTGTTGCTTGGGTTCAAGCCTAGGTTTGTGGACTGAGACCCATGCGCCCAAATCAATTGGACCACAATAAGATCATTGTATGTTTCTCGAAATAATTTTTCTTGTTCTATTGCTTATAAAAATATAGCAAAAAAAGATTCAGCGCTGGGGTTTAAACCCAGGCCTTTGAGCTAAATCGCACACGTCCTAACTAGCTAAACCACAATAGTGTTGTTGAATGTTCCTCGAGACAATTATACTTGTTTCATTTCAAACGTCAAGATGATTTATAGGGTAATAGCTTAGCGCTAAGATTTACGGCGCCGAGCTCGACGTCAAGATCTATGGCGTCGAGGCCTTGTCCACGTCGGCGTCAGGTCACCGCCACATCCGACGCCTCGCTAAGACCTCGGCGACATTACGTGTTTCCTCGATGCCAAAAATCATGGCGCCGAGGTCAGAGTCCATAAACGAAAATTAAACCATTATGGTCTATTTGTGAATATTTTTTTAAAAAAAACTGAAAAATAAAAAATTCGACAGCCTGGCGCGGGCTGCTTTTATCGCTTTCGTGTCCGCCGCCTGCCCGGTGCGCGGGGCTCCGCCTACGCTGGAGCTCGGCGCTTTTTGCTCTCGCGACCGATAGGCGATAGCATTCGCATGCATGGCCGAGAGCGCGCGTGTTTGGAAGCGTCAACCCGTCAACCTTTGGCTCTAGCTCTGGCCGCACTCTGTAGTCTGTACAGGGTAGCGCTCCAGAAGATGGCGGGTGCTGCTTTAAAAGGAGGGCAAGGGCACAACAAGGCAGAGCTGATTAGGCTGGTCGCGCAGCGCCGTGCCGTGGAAAGAGCGTACATGCACGCAGGTAAGCGCTGGCGCGCAGCGGCACAGGCATTTGCACGGATCAAGCACGAGCGATTGTTTGTCCGTGCTGTGTTGTGTTCTCTTCTCGGTGCTCTCGGGTTTTAGCTTGTCAAGTTTATTGATGACTTTGGCTGACTTAGACCCTGTTTGATTAGGTAAGACTAGTTGTTACTTGTTAACTATATTTAAAAGCAGTGTTATATTAGATACTAAACGGTAAACAGTCGGTCACTTATTATTTACTCGTTGCTAGTTTTGGGTAAACCTATGTAAACATGATAAATGGTCGATTAAACGAAGATGACATGTCACTATGTAGCATTTAAACAGTGTACAATAGGCTAAACAATTGTTTAAGCAAACAATGCCTAAGAACACCATGAAGAGTTTTTCTAAAATTCACTCTTTCTTAATCATTATTTAGAGAGTTATTTGAGTAAAATTTGCTTTTTATATATTTGTATCCTCCAACAACTGTTTAATATCCTGTGCACACTCTAGAGAGCTATCACCGCTCTTCATCTTTAGCTAGCGAGAACTACGGATTAGAGGATATCTATATTTAGAGGTCCAACTAGAGAGGATGTTAGAGGATATTTTTTACCAAAATCTCTATTTTTAAATTAGAAATGATAAATATAAAGGATCTCTTAAAGTTGGAACTAGTTGAGAACCTGAGGTATGTCCGTCCAAAAAGATTCATAGAGGTGAATGGAGGTGAAGCTAAAAAAAACCCCTCCAAGAAACCAAAACGAGACCAAAGTCGGGCCACCAAAACAATCACCGATGCGCTGCGCTCGTTTGGGCCTGCCAAATTTGGTTTCGGCACTGTATCTAATAGCCCACGAAACAAATCAGTAGTGTTTTCCCCAAGCCCACTACACTACAGAGCCGCTCCATACTGTATAACACCAACTCTGACCATCATCGCCTCCTCCCTCCGCTGTTTCCCGCCCAAATCCCCACCGCCGCCCAAATGTTCTTGTCGGAGGAGGACGAGTCCGCCGCGGCGCAGAAGCTTGCGGGCTTCCTCTTCGATTCCTACGCCGACGACATTCACCGCATCCTCCTCGACGACGATCCCTCCAAGCTCCATTTCCCGCTCGTTATTGAGTGCGTCCTCCCGATCAGCTCCTCCCGTTCCCGTTCCCGTTCCCCTTCACCAAACCCTAACCCCATCTCCACTCGCAGATTCGCTGAGCTTATGGAGTTCGACCCCAAGTTCGCCG